TTAATTTCTCACAAGAACGCCATGAAGGGGACACTCTCATGAGCCCCATTTTGCTGAAAAGTACACTGAGCACAGAGATTTGCTCCAAACTACCCAGCAAGGAAGTGCAGGCTGGGACTTCCAGATAATGTGTATCTCAGGCTTGGCATAGCCTGGTTTGAGGAGAGCTGGACAAGTAGGTGCATAATAAATGTGCTCTAGATCTTTTCGTCCTTGTGTCCCCAATCTGGGGCCCAACTAGAGGGCCAGGACTGTTACTAGTGAGATGACGTTTCTTCTTGAAGGAAAAAAATTCAGTCAAGAGGCAAAGTAAAGCAAAGCAAGTGGTAATTTATTGGCAGCAGAAAAGCACATTCAGGACAGTTAAACAAGGAAGGGCTTAGCATAGAGGAAGACACAGGAGCGCCTAGGCGGGGCTGCTTTGGCTCACTGGGAAGTCAGAGAAGAGGGTGCCTGGGAGACAGGTTCAAGGGGTTAGCCCAGGACCAGTCGCCACTGCCCTTTGCTTCCCTGGTTGCAAGCCTCATGGGGTTTCTTAGAGTTTAGGAGATGCATTCCTGTGGGGGAGGGAGAAGGGGAGGGGAATGGCTCCCTAAAGGGAGAGCATGAGCACAAGCAAGTGCTGGGTGGGTCCTTTGTCTTGAAGAGTTTTTCTCTTTTTTTAAAAAAGATATATCTTTATTGATTTCAGAGAGGGGAAGGGAGAAAGAAACATCAATGATGAGAGAGTCGTCATTGATCAGTTGCCTCCTGCACCCCCCAACGGGGGATCGAGCCTGCAACCCAGGCATGTACCCTGACCAGGCGTCGTACCGTGATCCCCTGGATCCTAGGTTGATGCGCAGCTGCTGAGCCACACCTGGTTGGGGGTTTTGAAGAGTTTTTATTTCTCTCTTGCAGGTGGGAATCTTAGGAGAGGCCTCAAGGGAGGGTTTCAAGAGAATATTCATCAGTTTTCCAGGTGTGCTCTTTCAGAGTCACAGTCTTCGCTGATTGGTGGGCCCCAGGGCAGGGGGTCGTTAGTCAGCACAGCTGGTCCAAGGCAGCCTTTGCTTGTCCGGTTTTGCTTCTTTTCTAAGCCTGGAGCTGAAATACAACTGAGGCCTAGATGTTGTCTTCAGGGAGGACAGGTCAGGGGGTCCAAACCAAATGATCAGTGATATGAAAGGGGAGGAAAGGTGTTATAGAAATAGATTTGTGTGTGTATTTTAACAGCTGGGTTGAAGGTGTGGTGCGTCTTCAGTGTGTCTTATCAGGGTCCTACAGAGCGCGGGCCTGCTTGGAAGCCAGGGCTACAAAGTGTTAATCTTATCGTGGCACGCAGGCCTCACAATTACACTCGGTCACACAAGATGAAGTTACTTATTTCAAATCTAATACATACATCACACTTATATTCCTGACTCTAATACACACACAAATCTATTTCTATAACAAAAGGTTACCTTGGGGGCGAGGTCCTCGCTTTCCCAGTTTTGCCCATTGCTAGGCACCTGGTGACCTTCTGACCTTCTGCCCTGCTTACCTTCCCTACCTGGCCCATCGTCTTTGCTCTGCTCATGTCTGTCTAACTGCCTACCATAGGATCTCTGGGCTTCAGTGCCAGCTTTGTTACTAACTTGCTTTGTAAAATTCTGGGCCCCCATTTCTCCCCTGAGCAAAATAACTAGTCTCCAAGGTATTTCTTCCAGGAAGGCCCTCTTGTACCCACTCTCCTCCAAGCTCAGCTCCTCTGGCTGTCCTTTGTGGGCACCGATGAGTCCAAGAGGCAAACCCCGGGGGTGTAGGCTGGAGTTTCACCGCCCTCCTCCACCCTCAGTAGCGTGTATAACGCTGAGCACTGCTTTGTTTGTTGATAAAGGAATGGGTGGGTCCCATGCCTGGGGAGCCAACTGCCAGTGTCAACAGGTCTCGGAGGTGGTACTTCACTGAAGAGTCATAACCACGAGGAGGCAGGGGCACAGAGCCAAAGGCATCCTGAAGTAGCTGTGGAGCTGGTGCCAAGTTGTAGACATACGCAGATTTTCTACTGTACAGGAAGTCAGTGCCCGTAACTCCCATGCTGTCCAATGGTCAACTGTATTTTACCTGCCCAGGAACCTCTTTCCCCCTTTCAGCACCACCCCCTCCAGCTTTCTTATGGGGAATCTCTTACACTCAGTCCTTACAGTTCAGAGTCAGCCTGACCCAGTCCTGGCCAATCAGAGCGTTTGATGCCCTGGTCACAAGGATTAGTTCTGGGATGAGGGTCTGGGACCCATTTCCTGACCAGTGAGAATTAGCCCTGAGGCTTTTGCTAGAACTAGTAGGAAAGGGACACCCTTTTCTAGAGAGGGTTGCTAAGTTGGCAGGGTAGCCATCTGGTACCATGGAGGGCACTGGAGACAAGACTCTGCCTGTGCACGGAGAGCAGCAGAACTGAGAAACGGAAAAGGACAGCTTTCTGATGAAGACTGTGTGAGCCCCTGGACCCAGCTATGCCTGAAGGTGGTCAGCCTTTGATATTACTGGTTATATGAGTGAATAATTGTTCCTTTTCATTGACACTTTTTTTCTGGTCATTTGCAAGCAAACAAAGCCTTATTAATAAAATCTATACAAGTTCAGAAGAGGTACAGATTCTTGTAAAGGTCCAAGGGCAGGAAAAGGGGAGTGAACACTTTTCAGAATCCTTCAAGAGGTGGAAGCTTTGAAGGCAGGCAAGCTTTGTTACAGTGGGGGGAAAACGGGGAAGGACATTGCAGGTGAGGGGAATAGGAAAGTCACAAAGGCACAAGGTGGGGACATATGTGAGAGAGGGAGTAGTGGATGGGTATGAGGGGCAACATCTTAGAAGGTCCTGAATGCCAGCTGAAGGGTGGTTCATGCTCCTGAGCGCAATTGGGAGCCACAGAAGGCTGATGAGCAAGGGGAGTCTACTCTGAACTTGCCTTTACTTCCTGGAGTCCCAGATCCTGTAATGTACCCCTCCCCGTCACCCCCTCCCCAGACCCTCATCCAAGGTGGAAGGAGGGGTCAGACTGAGAAGGGATCAGGCTCCATCTGCATGCAAATTTCCTGGGATGTTATGCAGATGAGGGATCATATGCAAATGTATGCCCTCCTGGGAGGTGGGCCAGGACCTTCCCCTCATTAACTTGGGGACCAGGTGCTGGCAGAGAACCCCTTCCTCCCTGGAGTCCCCTTTCTCCCCTTCCTCCAGACATCTGTTCACTACCCCTCCAGCCCCCCAAGCCCCCTCTCACCAATGTCTGCTCTTAGAATGGGATCTCTCTCCACCTGGTCCCTTCCCTGGATCAAGGGACCCTATTTTCTTTTCTCTCTGTCCCTCCACTTCCCTTGGATAATACTACTACTAATAAACACGTACGAACACATGCACTGTGCCAGGCTTTGTCCTAAACTTTCCACTGCTATCTCATCTCCCAATCACACTCTGACCGTCTGTGTGTCTGCTGTATTATTATTATTTTTTTAAATACTCAATTCTGTCATAGAGAAAACAATAAAGCCGTATGAACAAGGAGACAGATGAAACAAAGGACTGATATTAAGAAGCAACTTAGGAGGCCTGTCAGACATATTAAGAATGTGAGCTTGACGTAGATGGGACGGGTGGAAGGATCCAGCAAGCCCCAAATTCTACGTGTCCTTAAGGTGCTTCCTTGTTGGTGACTCTGGCTGTTCCAGGAGTCCTGTGCCCAAGTCAGGCAGGTAAAAGCCAGGCGCTGCCTGACCCTGGCACCTTCCAGGTGCAAAACCCTCTGGCTCACCTTCCACTCTGGGGACTGAAATCACACCATGGTGTGAGAGAGATGGGACCCGGGGCCATGCATACCCCGGAACTCAGGTGGCGGGGACCTTTGATCGCTCGTACCCCAAACTAAGTGTGTGAATCTGGCCCATCTCCTTTTGCTTGCTGTGTTTGTTTTAAACCGATTCCACAAACCATGGGATTTGAGCACCTGAGTCAGGCTGGTGAGCGCTTCTGCTCGGGGGCCTCCGGGCAGGCTGCTGCATCCCCTGCCAGGTTTCCATAGCCTCTCGTCAATTCCCCGTGGCTGAGAGAGCTCATTTTGTCCATTTAGTGGCTGAGCAAACTGAGGACAGCGAGGTGGAGTCACTTGCTGAGATTAGAGACTTCTGAGCACAGAGACCTCCCCGAGCGTGCATTGCACAGGGATTGTCACTCCCACTCCCCACACAGCCCTCCATGGGCCCGTGTGATTTATCGCCATTTGATGGGCCCAGGGTCACACAAGCCCAACCTCCACCACTGCTTCTGGGCAGCTTTCAATATGTTTTCTGACTGTAATTACCTCTCAGCATCCCCATTCTTTCTGTGCTTCTCTTTGTCTCTATCTGACTGTCTCTGCCTCCCTCTCCCAAAATCTTTCTGTGTGTCTGTCTGACTCCAGGGCTTTCACCTCTGGGCTGCCCCAGTCCATCCCTCCATGCCCACCCCCACCCCAAGTCTTTCTACTACTCTTTCAAATCCCTCCTCCTCTGCCTCAGTAAGTCTCTCAAGCTGGCCTCGCTGTTCCTACTGTCTCTTCTCCCTGCCCCGGGCCCCTCTGTCGGGGTTCCTCCAAGCCACCCCTCCTCCCCCAGCTGCAGAAATGATGCCATACCCAGAGGAGACAGCTCCATCTCTAATTCCATCCATTCTACAGCTCAGAGAGTTTTTCCTCTCACAGCTTCAATTCCCTCTGGGGCTCTGGCAAGAGAGTCTGGGAACTTTTACTTAAGGGGACAGTACCCCACCCGCCAAGCAGGCACTGGTCTTCGGGGACCATGCTCGGCGCCCTCTAGACCCTGGGCATCTCTCTTCCATCCTCTGCCAGCTGAGTCACCCTCTGCTTTCTCTCTCTCTCCATCATTTCTTTCTCCATGACGTCAGATATCTCCCAGGTCCTGCAAGGGGCGGAGGAGCAGTGGGAAGGGGAGCATCACCTGCGCCCCAGCCCCTCTCATCCCCCAGAGGCGGCTCGGCCACAGGATGGTGTCCACGTGACAGCATTTATTCCAGACTCCAGTGTCCATGATGAGGGGGCGGAGCAGGGGTGGGGATCCAGTGTCAGACTATACAGCAGGACGTCAGGTGGGGGGACCAGCAATGGAGGCAGGAGGTAAAAATAGCCTCAGCCAGCCGACCCTCAGAGCCTCGTCCGGGGCCGGGCCGGGCTTGGGTCCAGAAGCTATTCTGGGGCCTGGGAGAGTCATACTCACTGGAAGAAGGTCCCCTCCCACCCACGAGCGCACCCTCCCTCCCCCCCAGCAGTGTCTGTAGGTCCCTGCCCAGCCTGCAGAGGAAGGAAGGGAGGGGGGAGAGGAAAGGGGCAGGCCGGGAAGGGAAGGGAAGGCGGGGGCAGGCAGGGCGTGAGCAGGGCTGGTTCTCCCATGCTTGCAACTCCAGGTTGGGTCCAATGACTGCCTCTTGGAGGTCTGCAGGCTTAGCACTGGGGAGAAGATGGGAAGGTTGGCCTGTACTCTGCCCCCAGAAGGTCCCCTCTCACCAGGGTTGCCCAGGCCCTCACCCACCTCATCTCCAAAGCCCCCACTGCCACGCCTGGCTCCTCCAGAGGCACCTCCCATGAGAAGGCCTGTCTGCTCTGGCCGCTGGGACCCTGAGTGGCTCAGCTCTGGCTCCCCAGATGGCCTGGGGAGAAGAGGCAACATGTTGGAGATCCTTCCAGCTGGGGGAGGAACTGGGGATGGGGTTGTGTTGGATGGAGATAGACTTGGAGGGTGAGTGGGAATGGGTTGGGGCTGGGGTAGGGAGTGGGAATGGAGATGGTATTATAGTTGGTGCTAGCTCTGGGGGTGGGTTTGGGAATGACTATGGAGTTGAGGGTGGCCATGTGATTGTGGTTGGAGATGAGGTTAGATGGGGATGGGTTTGGTGTTAGGAATGGGAATGAAGTGGGTTGGAGGGGCCTTGGGGGTGGGGATGTGGTTGAAGCTGGGTTTGGTGCTGGTTCTGGGTTGGAGCTGGGATGTGGTTGGGGGAGAGGTTGGGACTGGGGAAGAAGTTGGGGTTCAGAGTTCAGGGAGTTAGGGGTGTGGTTGGGGTTGAGGTTGGAGAGAGGATAGTTATGCTGAGGTTGAGGGTCGGATGTGGCGATGAGATGAGTGTTGGAGAGGAGACTGGGGTGCATATGGGTTTGGCGATGGTTATGTTAGGGTTGGGATTGAAGGTGGGGATGGGATTTGGGTAGGAGAGATTAGGGATGGAGTTAAGCTGGGCTTGGGGTGGGTTTAAGGATGGTTGTGGGTTGGATGGGGCTGTTGTAGTTGGGGATTAAGATGGGGGAGGGGATGGTTATGGACTAGATTTGAGGTTGGAGATGGGATTGCACTGCATTTGGGTTTGGAGTTGAGGTTGGTCATGGGCTGGGTTTGGGGCTGACGTCAGAGTTAGACCTAGGGATGGGGTTGGGTTACAGAGGTCTGGTCTGAGGTTGCAAGGTCACTCACGGAGCCCCCTTTTCCCCCTGTCGGCAGCAGCCGGGGCGCCCCTTGCGTCTCATGCAATAGAAGGCAGCAACGACAAGGAGCAGGAGGCCCACGCTGACGGCCACAGCCATGACAGCTACTCCGGCCTGAGAGGTCGGGGGGGCCACTGTGGGGACAAGACAGAGGAGGTGAGCTCAGTCAGCAGCTCTCCAGCTGCCCCATGGCTCCTGTCCCACCACCGGGTTACTCACAAGGGCCGAAGTAGAAGACATGCCGGGCACTCCCATGTGGGTTGGAGGCCTCACAGGAGATGCCGTGTTGGCTCATGGCGTTGGTCAGCTTCAGGGTCAGGGAGCTGCTCACCCAGCCCTGCCCTCCGGGAACCAGCTCTGTGGACTGTGGAGACTTGGGTCAGGCCCAGGCCCATACGATCAAGGGCAGGGGTGATGTCCAGTCCCTCAGGAAGCAGGAGAGGGGACATAATGCCTGGATCAGCAAGGGAGAAGGTTCTCCTGGGACCTTGGGGAGGGTGCCTGCATCCCGGAGTGTCCCTTACACTGCCGCCCTTTTCGCTCCAGGTGAGTTCGGGCTCTGGGTAGCCACGGGCAGAGCAGACCAGCTTGACTTCGTCTCCTTCTCTCCAGCTGCCCTCTGCCTGGGGCTGAATCTCCTCCGGCCTTAGGTCGGGTAACCCTGTGGGTGGCAGGGAGTGAGTGAGTGGGAGGCCCCCTGGGGAAAGATGAGAGTGAGAAAAGGGCGGGGGGAAGAGGAATAGAGTAGGAGACAGAGGGACCAGCCATGGTCCCTTCCTCTTGGTCATGGCCCCCCACTCCCATCGTCCCCATCCCAGCCTGCCCCTACCCCCAAACCTTCAACCAGCAGCTTGAGGGTCCGAGTGCGACTGAGGAGGGGGACCGTGGGCATGTAGGCTTCGCATATGTAGGTTCCAGCGGAATCAAAGGTGATGGAGTTGAGTGAGAGCATGGGGCCATCCACCAGGGGGACCGAGTCCTGTAGGGTGGTGGAGGGGAGAAGAGGCCAGGTGGACCATGACAGAAGAGGAGGGGGTAACTGGAGGGAGGGGGTCCCAGGGCTGGGGTCTCCTTTCCCTCTCACCTTGGTCCAGCGTAGAGCAGGGGTGGGCAGGCCTTGCACGGAGCAGCTCGTGGCTACTCTGCTGCCCAGGGGTAAGGAAAGCTCCTCTTCGTTGCTGAGCTCGATGGGGTCCAGGTCTGGAGGGGGGTACAGACTGTTACCTTCCAGGACCCTTACCAAGTTGGTTAGGGGCACTCAAGGGCTTTTGTGGGTGCAGACGCGAATGCACAATAGTCAGCAGAGAATGCCAAGCCCTCCTCCTAGTTCTTTCCATCTCTGTGAACTCGCCACTCCACCATCCAGGCCAAATCTCGAGCCCAAGCCTAGGAGTCTAACTGCAAAGTCCATGCCCACCTGGACCACTTTCCTCCAGCGCTGACGTTTGGGCCCAAGGTTAATGGATAACCTTGGAGGTGTGCAGTATTCCCTCTCTGACTTACCACCCAAGCCTTTTGCTCAAGCCCAAACCCTTGCCTTCTCCTCCCCACTGCCCATTCGTTAAGTCTTTCTCTGCTCTGCCCTCAAGATAGATCCTTCCACTTCTGTCCATCTCTGAGCACCAAGTCTAACTGCCTTGACCACTGCAGTCACCTCCTCACCGGCCTCCCTGCTGGGCAGGACTCTGGTCCTCTCCAGCCCACTCTCCACTGAGCAGCTAGAGGGGTCTTTTCAAAACACACTGGTCAGCTCTCCCCTCTGCTTAAAATCCTGCAGTGGATTCCCAGTACCCTTGGCACAGAGGCCAAATTCCTTGACAAAGCCCAAAGAGCCTTCCTGATCTGACCCCTGCCCATCTCTCCGACCTCATCTCCCACCTTCCTCCTTTGCCCCCTGAGCTCTGGCTCCCCTGGTCTCTTCCTGTTTTTCTTCAGTGCACCAAGTTGGGTCATGCCTCAGGACCTTTGCACTTGCTGTTCCCTCTACCTGGAGTGCTTTTCATCTGGCTTTTTGCATTTCTTTCTTTCTTTTTTAATCCTCACCCGAGAATCTTCCTCCCCCCCCCCCCTTGCTTTTCAGAGAGAGTGGAAGGGAAAGAGAGAGAGATCGATGTGAGGGAGATACATCGATTGGTTGCCTCCTGCACATCCCCGACGAGAGATGGGAATAGAGCCTGCAACCGAGGTACCTGCCCTTGGCTGGAATTGAACTTGGGATCCTTCAGTCTATGGGCTGACGCTCTAATCACTGAGCCAAACTAGCTAGGCCTCTTTGCATTTCTGATTCCATTCTATGATTTCTTATTCAAATGTTCCCTTCTCAGAGAGGCTTCCCTAACCCCCTGGTGTGCACACTCAGATCTCCCCTTCAGCTGTTGAGAGGGACATCAGCTGTCAGCCCTCAGCTGTCAGCCCTTTCCGGGAACTGCCTCAGCTGCAGAGAGCCCCTCGCTCAAGGTCATGCCCCCTTCCTCAGGCAGCCCAACAGCCAATGACTGGTTGATGTGGGGGTGCAAAAGCCAGGCCCCTTCACCCTAACTGGGAACATCCGAGCTTCCAGGTGCCCCGTGGGGCCAACCAAGGCCTTCTTAGACTGAAGTCCAACTTTTCCCTCTGCCCACCCTGCTTCCTTCCTCTCCCCACTCCTAGTAGATGTGGTTGCCAAGGCGCCACATAAACTTCCTGCTTTCAGATCTCCAAGCCAGAATCTGCTTCCTGGGGATGCAGCCTGCCAATGCCCCCCAAACTATTCCTTGCTTGCCCGGTCAATTCCTTAAACCATCATTCTGCGTTAGTCCCTGCAGATGCAGGATTGCTACCCCAAAGTGTCTTGTTTAGCGTTTACCATCTGTCTCCCCTACTGGGCTGGGAGCTCGGGCTGGGAGCTCTGTGAAGGTGGGGCCTGGGCTGTCTTGTTCCCAGATGTGTCACCTACATCTGGTACAGGGTCTAGCCCCAGAAGGAGTGTCAAGGAGGAACAGAGCCTTTGCACAGGGCTTGGGGGGCGGCAAGTGGACTGAGGAGGCTTCTTAGAAGATGGGGACCCAAGAGACTGGTGGGAAATGGATGGTAGGGTGAGGTATCAGGGGAATGAGGGGAGCTTGGGTACAATGAGGAAAATGCCTTGGTGGGGAGAAGGGTCAGCCAGCGGGGAAACCAAACAGGTGGGCCTTGAAGGCCGTGGTGAGACACCTGGGCTTTCCCAGAGGGCACTGAGGAGCCATGGCGGGTTCTGGAGCAGGGGAAGGTCAGGTTTGTGCTTTGGAAAGGACTCTCTATCTGCCTGCTGTGAGAGTTTGGAGGGGGC